AACACTTCCCCTAACATACCCTTGTTTCACGAGGAAACCAGTGAGTCTTTCATACCATGCGCGTGGAGCATGCTTCAAGCCATACAGCGCCTTCTTCAACTTATACACGTGCTGTAGATATTGAGCATCTTCGAACCCTTTTGGCTGTTCCACATACACCTCTTCTTGAAGCACTCCATTGAGGAACGCACTTTTGACATCCATCTGATACACCCTAAAGTTTAGGATACAAGCCATCCCCAAGAATAGTCTGATCGACTCAAGTCTTGCTACAGGGGCAAAAGTCTCTTCGAAATCGACTCCCTCGACTTGTGAAAACCCTTGAGCAACTAGTCTTGCTTTGTTACGCACCACCACTCCGTTTTCATCGATCTTGTTCTTAAAGATCCACTTTGTTCCCACCACATTGCCTTCATGAGGTCTTGGAACCAGCTCCCACACGTCGTTTCGCACAAACTGTTCTAGTTCTTGTTCCATGGCTATGATCCATAATTCATCACCAAGAGCCTGTCTCACGTCTCGAGGCTCAATCACAGAGACAAAGCATGCAAACAGGACCATCTCTGAGAATTTTCCAACCATCTTCTTGAAGTCCAACTGAACCCCCCGAGTCCTTCTTCCTTCATTCACATCACCAATGAGATCGGACGGTGAGTGATTTCGGTGAACTTGCTGAACCTCAGATGATGGAATCACAGCTGCCTGATCACCTTCTTCAGTGTGAACTGCTGACCGATCTTCTTCCTCTTCGTCTGAGTCACTGCCTGTAGCAGTTCCTTCCCACTTAGTGCAAGCATAGTCATCAAACACCACATTCACCGACTCGATCAACACTTTTGACCTGATGTTGAATACCCTGAATGCAGTGCTGTTTCCCGAGTACCCTAGAAATATTCCTTCATCACTTCTTGAGTCAAACTTTCCGAGATAGTCTTTGTCGTTAAGGATGTAACACCTGCAGCCAAAGACATGAAAGTAACTCAAGTTAGGAGTTTTTCCTTTCCACATTTCATAAGGTGTCTTACTAGTTCCCTTTCTGACGTAGACTCGGTTTATGATGTAGCACGCTGTGTTGACTGCTTCAGCCCAGAACTTCTTCGACACTTTGTTCCCATGTATCATTGCTCGTGCCATCTCTTGCAGTGTTCTGTTCTTTCTCTCGACAACCCCATTCTGTTGTGGGGTCTTGGGCGCTGAGAACTGATGAGCAATGCCGTGGCTTTCACAGAAAAGTTTCATGGATTCATTCTGAAACTCACCACTATGATCACTCCAAATGCTTCTTATGCCACCACGCTGATTCAGGAGTTGCAGTGCCCATATTCTGAAGCTTTCAGCTGTCTCAGTCTTTTCACGAAAAAATCTGACCCAGGTGTATCGAGAAAAATCATCCACAAGGACGAACACATAGCGTTTGCCTCCCAAGCTCTCAGTTTGAACTGGTCCCATTAGATCCATGTGAACCAGGTCAAGAACTGCTTTTGACTGTACATCAGGAACCCTTTTGTGTTGAACTTTGACTTGCTTGCCTTGAGTGCACGGTCCACAGACCGATTTATTAACTCCCTTGACTCTAGGCACCCCTCTGACGATTTCCTTGTCAACCAGATTGGCAAGACTTCTAACGTTCATGTGGCCCAAACGTTGATGCCATAGATGTAGGTCATCGCGTGCTGTGAAGCACTTCTCTTCTTTACAAGAGGAATTCCACATGTAACAGTTGTTTCCAGATCTAATTCCTTGCAGAATGATCTTTCCGACTCCATCCACAGCTCTGCAGTCCTCTTTGGTGAATACAACCGTCAGACCCTCATCACACAGTTGGCTTATACTGATCAGATTTGCTTGCAGTCCATGAACCAGATACACATTTGCTAGTTGAGGTTGACCGATTTCCCTTGTCCTGCCCTTTCTTTGGATTGCACCAATGCTTCCATCACCAAACGTGACCTTGCCTCCACTGATCTTTGTCAGACTCTGAAGAAACCTTTTGGTACCAGTCATGTGTCGTGAGCAACCACTGTCAAAATACCATGTGGCAGATTGATCATCATCCTCTGTTACAAGGGCCATGTTGCACTTAAACCCCACTCCTGGGTTCGTGTTCTGCGTAGGTACTCCCCTCTGAGGTTGTCTTGGAGTTGCCTGTCTTAGATCACCTTTCCTGACCCAAATCTGGTTTCTGAACCCATTCCAGGTAAATCTCCTGAGTTCCTTCAGCTTCCTCACTTGCTTCCAGAACCTGTAGCAGTGATTTCTAATGTGCCCTGGTTTTCCACAGTAGAAGCATCCACTCAGTCTCATTGGCAGACCTTCGTTTCTTGAGGTTGACGCAGCGGTGTTGCTCTTAACTGTGGTATTTTGTGCCCTGTTGCCCATTTCTTGTGATCGAGTAGTACCTCCTGACACAAACTTTGTAGTACCTGTTTCAACCATGGTTCAAGCATTGTAACCCAGTCCTCTACGAGTGTCAGACCTCCTCCCATAGCTTAAGATCTGATCGAGTTGCTTCGTTCCAGCAAACATGTGAATCTTTTTGCGCTGCTCAATAAGCTCTCCCATCAGGTTGTTTGAGATACCTTTCTCCTGACTCAGATCGTGCTCCAGTTGTTCAGCCTTCTTTGCCAGGTTCAGTTTGCCCTTGATCAATGCAACACTCTCTTGACTCAGTTTGTGAGCTGCTTCCAGTTCTCTCTGCAACTCTTCCACCTTCTCTTCAAGTCAAAGATTCTCCTTCTTCAAGTCAAGGTTCTCTTTTCCAATCTTGATCAGAGTCTCACGAACCTCTTTGTAGCTTTCACTTAGCTCATCATCTGCCCCAACGTCCGACTCAGCATCTGTCACAGCCATATTCTCATCAAATTCAGCAATGCCTATGAATGAGACGAAGTTGTTAACTTCCTCCACAGTGCCTTCACTACTGTCATCTCCGGTATCCTCCTCGGCCAGCATGGATTTCTCCTTCCTTCGATTTTGATCATTAACACATTCCAGTTGTGTGTGACCAAAACCTTTGCATCCAAAACACTGAATTTCCCTCCTCTTAAGAGTAGGACACTCAGTCTTGAAATGCCCAACACCTTTGCATTCGTAACACTGAACATCACCTCTTCTCTCACTGCTTTCTTTTGTCCGTCTTGCTGGTACAGCCTTCTTCTGATCATATGTCTTCTCAACTCGTCTTAGTGCCTTGTCAAACCTCTTCACCAGCAATCCTAGTGCATCCTCACACTTCTCTTCCTCTGATGACTTTGTCTCAAGGACCGATGACAGTGCCAACCCTTTCTGTTTCTTTTCACCGTTCAGTTCCATCTCGTGAGCCTGAAGCATCCCAACAATCTCTCCGAAGCTTAGAGATTCAGTATCCTGATTCACACTCAGGGCTGACTTGTACCCCATGAACTTGGGAGGAAGACACCTTAGAAACTTCTTCACAAGTTTCTTGTTTTTGTAATGTTTCCCAAGAGTGGCAGCCTCCTGAGTCAGAGAACTCAGCTTGGAGCTGAAGTCAGCAATGGTTTCATGCTCTTCTATCTTCAAGTTTTCAAATCGCGAAGCTAGCATGTCCTTCTTTGAGTTCTGCACTTTGGTGGTTCCTTCAAACTGTATCTGTAGTATGTCCCAAGCTTCCTTGGCTGTCTCACATCCCTGAATTAGATTGAACGTCTCAGCTGATATGCTACAGTGAATAGCCGTCAGTGCTTTTGAGTTGTACTTAAACTTCTTCCTTTCGTCTTCCGTCCAATCCTCTTCAGGTTTGGGCTCATCAGCTCCAGAGTCATTCTTCTGTTTCGGCTCTTCCCACTTAACCAAGACAGATTTCCATGCCAAAGGATCAATTCCTCTAATGAGCGATCTCATCCTTGCCTTCCAGAATCCGTAGTTTCCAGCATTCAAAATCACTTTTGAATGGTTCACAAGTTCCTGATAGCTCTCCATCTCCGCAGGATCTCACCTGTTTGCAAAATACAGATGACCTCTCTGATACCAATTGTAAACGCAAGAGCCACCAATCAGGAACAACAACACAACTTAACACAAGATTTTTCTTTCAACTTTAACTTTATTGCTAGTAAATCTGTTAACACCTCTTACAAGATGTAACACGATTTGGTACAGACTCAAGACACACCTTGATCTGTCTCCCTAGCTCTCTCTGTTCTTCGATCGATACTTGATCTCAGAACACCTCTAGAAAAACCCTTAACCCTTGATGCAGACTCTCTCTTTTGAATCTCTCACCCTTATGCTAAGTGCTCTCTAGTAGTTGTGTTAAGCTTCTACAAGGCTACAACACGTCTACTTATACCTAGTAGACTCCGCGGCTCTACGTGCCAAAAATCCTACAACACAGCTTCCATTTTGTCGCTTGATGTATATTTCCTATTTCCTTAAACTTTTGCTTGTTTAAGGAAATCTTCCATTCTTCCTGATCTGCTCCATTATTCCCATCCAGCTTTGCTTTTTCTTCAAGACTTCCATTTCTTCTAGTCCAGCTCAGCTGCTCATCTGACTTCTCGTTTCAAGAACTTCACTTGTCACGTACTCCATGTTTGTGGCAGTTCATTCTTCACTCCATCTGGTACAGCAACTGCATCAAGCACAGCTACATCTTCAAATGTTTCTGTAAACTTTCATCAATTAGTTTATCTTAAATTGAACATTGTACGATATGTAACATAACTGAAGACGCCTTTACCGTTTGAAGTTGTCAGTATTTTGTTCGCCCTTTGGGTCCATGAAAAGACCAAAGGTAAGAATCACATTAAGTCAGGTTAGTTAGTTAGCAATTTCACATGCTTCATCTTATAATCTCATCAACATATTCATCACCTGAAATAAAGAGATAAGGTTTCTACTTTTTTTTTTTCTTTTTTACATTTAATGTTCTCTCTTTTCTTTTTGAAGTTCACATGCTAAATCTACTAAACACTCTTCCTTTTTCACACCCCTATATCAATAGCCTCATGTTACTATTACCCAAAGACCTAAAACAAAGAGTGAACTCTTCTTTTTTTCTTTATGGCTCGGAACAAGCTCGAGTTCCCTCTTGATTCCGAGGCCTACGAGATCATATGCAAGATAGGCGTTGGTGTAAGTGCTTCGGTCTACAAGGCCATATGCATTCCAATGAACTCAACAGTAGTTGCCATCAAAGCCATCGATCTTGATCAGTCTAGGGCTGACTTTGACAGTCTTCGCCGTGAAAGCAAGACGATGTCTCTGCTTTCTCACCCGAACATCCTCAATGCTTATTGTTCCTTCACCGTTGATCGATGCCTTTGGGTCGTTATGCCTTTCATGTCTTGCGGCTCTCTTCATTCCATTGTTTCTACCTCTTTTCCCGACGGGTTACCGGAAAACTGCATTTCCGTGTTCCTCAAGGAAACTCTAAATGCAATCTCCTATCTTCATGATCAGGGTCATTTGCACCGTGACATCAAGGCCGGTAACATTCTCGTAGATTCTGATGGATCCGTGAAGCTCGCTGATTTCGGAGTATCAGCTTCGATCTATGAACCCGTGACATCGTCGTCTGGAACGACGTCGTCTTCACTAAGATTGACTGATATAGCCGGAACGCCGTATTGGATGGCTCCGGAAGTGGTTCACTCTCACACAGGGTACGGTTTCAAGGCAGACATTTGGTCGTTTGGGATAACGGCGTTAGAGTTAGCTCACGGGAGACCTCCGTTATCTCACTTACCTCCGTTGAAGAGCCTGCTCATGAAGATCACCAAAAGGTTTCATTTTTCGGATTACGAGATCAGTACAAGCGGCTGCGGTAAAAAGGGTAACAAGAAGTTCTCAAAAGCGTTCAGAGAAATGGTTGGTTTGTGTCTAGAGCAAGATCCTGCTAAAAGACCATCTGCCGAAAAGTTGTTGAAGCATCCTTTCTTTAAGAACTGTAAAGGTGTTGACTTTGTGGTCAAGAACGTGTTGCAAGGCTTGTCCAACACGGAACAGATGTTTATCGAGACCCAGATTTTGATGAAGAGAGATGATGATGAAGATGAAGAAGAAGAAGAAGAGATAGTGAAGAACAGGAGAATCAGTGGATGGAATTTCCGTGAAGAAGATCTCCAACTTAGTCCAGTGTTCCCAACTGAATCAGAGACTTCTGGTTCTAGTCCACGTGAAGAAGCTTCTCAAGATAAACCGGATGGTAACAGCGTCGTCTTAACCGGATCAGAACTCGGTTTAGGTTTGTCAACCCGAAATGAGGAAGCTAAGGAACAAGAAGATGAGGTTGTGGGGTTTGACAGAAATCTGATGTTAGAGAAGCTGAAACTGTTGAAGAAAAGCTTAGAACATCAGAGAGCGAGAGTGTCGGTTATAATCGAAGCATTGAGTGGGGAAAAGGAAGAGAAGAGCAGAGAAGAAGAGCTTCTAGAGATCGTGGAGAAGCTGAAGATTGAGTTGGAAGCTGAGAAGATGAAGACGTTGAGTGCAGAGAAAGAAAGTGTTTTGGGTTAACTATTCTAAACGTTAATACTTTGTCTTCTATATGCTAAAATCATTAATGAGTAGTATGATAATGGTTTTCAATCTCTCTTTTCTTTTCTTTCAAGATGAATTTAATTTTTTTTTTTTTTTGAAAATGCACAACACAATCAAATTAGTAGATTATTGAAGTAGAATTGACAAACATTGATATAAATCAAATCAGTTTAGAGTGACACCAAGTTCCATTAAAATTTGGTCAACGAGTAATGTTACCAATTATAATAACAAATATCTACAAAGTGAGTTCTTAGACACAACCCTCCTTTGAGTAGCGTACTGTATCATGAATTTTCAAACATTACCATCTTGAAGGGTTAAAATCTTCATATGGATTCCAAATAAGAAACGTTAAACGTAAAATTTACCTTTTTAGTTCTTATACTGTAGTTTTACACACTTTCAGAAGATTGTAAGAAAAATCTGTAACTTTTATCTAAACTTTGTTGATTGATAACGTGAAATTCTAAAAAATCAGTGACTAAATAATACATACGTGAAGTTCAGAATTTAAAATCATTAGTGAAGTAATACAAATAGATCATTAAAGTTCAAAATCAACTCAACTATTGAATAACTGAAACGATTTCCAATGAACCTCCCATAGTGACATCTTGAATGGTTTTTTACCAGAAATACATGATGTACAATGTTGGGACATCTTGAAATTGGTTACTAAAAGCATCTTAACAATTCCCCTCTTCGTTAGGAATGTTGTTTATCTCTTTTACAAGGTTTGTCTACTCAATAATAAATTTATCAACTTCTGTGATATAATACAACAAGCTGGTCCCCCCCCCCAAAAAAAAAACAATCTCCAGTGAAAATTATCTAAAGGGGATTTGCTCATGAGCTAAATTGATCACAATGTTGGGCCGAGAATACTATTTCCAAAATATTTAAGTTGGATATTTAAAACTTTTTTTTAAAGGAGAGTTAGCCTAATAACAAAGAGGAGAAATATGATTAAACTATAGTCATCTCAATTGTGAAACCTTGCAAGTAACCATTCGAAATTTATAATGTTGAAAATAGCATATTTTATGCGCGTCGTCTCACAAACAAATGGAGGAAGGGGATGATGCCAAGGTGGTGATAGAGTGTAAGCTCTTTTTATTTTGTCTAAATAATATATTTACTCACCCTAACCTGATGTATATAACTAAATATTATGTATATAACATGCACATTTGTTTCCAATAAAATTATATATGAAGCTCATTTGACAAAACGTTCGCATCAGTTCAATCTGTAATACCGAAAACATTGATATGAATAAGGCTTAATGGTGTGGTCTACCACATGATCAATAATAGTGTAATTACGATCTTTTGATTTTTACTTCAAACAAATTTCAATTGTAATCTGTAAGTTTTTTTAAAAACAGATTGTGCAAAGGATTATTTGGTTGAATACAATTTTTACATCCAACTAGATTTTGCATCTACGCTACGCGTGAATAGTTTTTTAATGCTATCATATTGATAGAAATTATATTTAAAATATTATATTTAATTTATTATAATAAAATTTATAAAAAAGTAATTCAGTTTTAAACTCAAAATTTATATATAGATTTTGAGGTTTCAACAATCTTGTCTGTATTTATATATGTGTCGTTTAAAAAAACATATTATTTTGTTGAACATTTAACATTTTTTATACCAAAATCAATCCAAAATGTAGCAAACTAATTAGATAGTACTTAGTTAGTATTGACACGAGGATAAAATATTATACAAAACTTATTAGTCAAGAAAATAAGGTTTTTTCATCAGTTGCATCCTTGTTATGTATTTTTTTTTATGAAAAATTAATAAAATTAGAAATTATTCTTTTTTCTTAGCTAGTTTAGTTGATACAAATTTCTGATTTATTCTAAATTAAAAAATAAACTAATAAACATTATTTTTGCTTTCATATATTTTCAGTAAATAAATATAAAATAAAATTTAAAACTAATTTCAAATCACAAAGATCGATGAATTCAATATAAATTTTAGTCAATTTTGTCTTAAATTGGTAAATACCAAACCTTCTGTCGAATAACATATTGTGTATGATAACTTCTAAATGATTTTTTATTGACAAACTTATCATCACCCTTAATTATGTTTAAACCAATTATCACCACATATTAGTACTCTATATGGATTTTTTTTATGTTATAGTAAATATTATTTTATTTTGTTTTATTATTTCAACTCGTATAAATATTTTTAAAAATTCTTCTAATGCTTGTAAGTTAGAATACTAAAAAGATAACTAAAAATAATTACAAAATAATTAATTACTATTTAATAAAAACAGTATTGACACAAAAAATTTAGTATATGTTTCTTCTTTAATGAAAGAAAATAAGAAAACAATGTTAAAATTTACTTTTCTTCTTTAATTGATTGCATATTATTTTATATCTAAATAAATTGGTATTTTGTTTAAAAAATATTTTTAATTTAATATTATTTTCGTTTTTTGTTGTTAATGGAAATTTTATACATAATTTTCTTATTCTTAATATATTTTATTAATAATAATATTAAATTTTGGAAACTTTCTTAATTTTGAATGTTAATGTGCATGGACCAATAGAATCTATATACTTATTTGTATAGTGATTTACTTACGTGTCGCGCTCACAGCGAATTTCACTACTTTTTGCTTACGTATCAGCTCAAAAATGAGTTTCAGCCGTAAAAAGATCGTTTAGCCATATTTTCCAATTACGTATCATCTTTTGATTGGTTCTTATTTGATGACGTGTAAAAAAAACTTAAAACAAATCGGTCTAAATTATCATACTTATTTGTATAGTGATTTGTTGATGTGTCGTTCTCACAGCGAGTTATACATTGTTTCGCTTACGTGTCATCGTCAGAATGAGTTTCGGCTGCAAAAAGATATTTTTATCTATTTAGTTATTATGTGTTATTTTTTTATTGGTTCTTATCTGATGATGTGTTAAAAATAACTTAAAACAAACTGCTCTAAATTATTGTGGTTTAATGCTTAATTTCGCTGTCAAATCAAACTGTTTCTAAAATTTTATAAAACCGAAATTTAATAAAAATCTAACAAAAAATAAAAATTAATAAATAGTCTAATTGAATGACGATATTTTTGATGTCTAGATTAGGTCGACTTCAAATATTTTAGTATTAATATGTACAACTTCTTTATAATTCTCTCACATCTTTTTAAATAGTTTAACCTCTTTTTTTTTTCTTCGAATAAGTTCGTACAGTATTTCAAAAAACTATGTCTAAAATACATAAAATAGTGATCAAAATTGAATTAAAAAAATTCGTACCGTATTTCAATAAATTACGTCTAAAATACATAGAATAGTAATCAAAAGATCTTAAAACTATTTAAAGTAAATTATTTGAATACTAATATGTTTTTATCTATTATCTTCTAGACTCTTTTTTACGATCATGTCTTCAAACATTAAAATGCAAGAAAATCTATCAAACAAATATATTCAACAATAGAGAATAAAAACAAATGAATCTAAACTACTATTAGAATCAAATGAAAAATTATATTAGTCCGTGCAAGTCGCGGGAAAGTTCACTAGTTACCCTTTTTAATCTTAAATGGACATCCTTAAATGCATTTAGGTTCAAATTTTATTAGTAATAGAATTAAAAAACAAACTTTTGTAAATTTTAATTTTTATAAATATAAATTTTATTTTGAGAGGCAAATTGAGGTGAGGGTTGCCCGGAATTTACGGGAGGAAAAGCATATCCACGTGGGAGATTTTGAATTAGTCTTCCTTGCCTCTTTTGTCTCTTTCCTGTTTGAGTCTTTTGTGGCTTTCCCAGATTTCTTTCCACTTTTCCTTGAAAATATATAACAATTTTCAGCAATCTTCCATTTTGTTATAACTTTCTCTTCTTCATTCTTTAAATTTTTCTTTGTAAATTTCTCAATTCTCATTTCTCAATATATATTTTAAAAATTGTAATGGTTATATGACAATATGGTGGAAAAACTCTCCCAAACATTGGCATAATCTTTTTTTTTTGAGAAAAACATTGGCATAATCTTAAAAAAAATATTTGGTCGAATTATAACCTATAAAGCACTAGCTCTATAACGGATCAACTGAAAATTATGTGACATAATAAAAAATTAGGGAATTATGTGACATAATAACTACGCCAAAAAGAGAGATCTAAACTCGGCGTAATAGCTTATGTTCTTAATTACGAGTTCTCACAATAAGTTTGTTTCTTTTATTATGTCGAGACTCAGATTCATAACTTGATCATATATTCTCTTCTAATTGTAAGTTTCTAGAAAGAAGCTGATGTTTATTCTTTGTTGGAAGATTATGATCCAACTATAGCTCTTTCAACAGCCAAATTTTGATTACATATTATTAGGCAACTCTAAATATATGTTCACTGTAATTAAAGCAAACATACAAAATGGGGAGTGACTAGGATAACCCCCTTTATATGGATTGAATATTTTAAAATTTTAAAACTTACTTTATTTTTGAAACAAGCATATTAATATGGCGATGATGTAGTGTCATGTAAGACTTGATGGAGATATTTTTTGTCTAGTTCAATCACACGAATCAGCTTATTAAAAGTCGACATTTTAAGATTCCACCAACTGTAGTTTAACTAATATTTTCGGTAACCAATGATTCTTTTGTGGATAGGGACTCTCGTCAATTTTTTTTTTTTTTTTTTTTTTGGTTTTATGATGATGTCCGTCTCTTTTTTGGCGCTAAAAAAACCTTTTCTGTTATTAGGTGCTAAACAATTTTTAATTAAGTACAGTATTGCAACTAACAAATTAAACTGATTCAAGGATAAAGGAAAAAGGAAAAAGATAATGATCGATTAACATAGGCTTTCTGTTTACTTTTAAAATAAATTTGCTATATAACCTTCTTTAAAGATTAAATAATATATAAGATTTTTATTTCAATGAAATTTTCTATACATCTTTGTAATATGTAAGATCCATTTGGGATATTCGAGTCAGCGAAATCCGTTTGAC